CTTCAGGGAACGAGGGTTACATACGTAACCGAGACGTTCTTCTTCCCATGATTGTCAACTGGGTTAAAAAAAAACGGTAACTGATTGATGAGGGTATAACGAATTAACTTCTGTAAATGAGTTCTGTTACATACCTGCAAATTAAACGTTTAATGCACAAGTGTTTGTAGTACTTAAATCATAAAATTGTCATAAAGAAAATGTCGAATAAAATATTATAGAAATTAGTGGTTATTGTTCAGTAGTGTTTTTGCTTTTTTTGGCCAAAGTTCTAAAAGCAAGAAATAAGACCAGTTTTATTAAACTTGTCAATTTGACAAAGGTCAGGAAAAAATGGTATTGCAATTCAGTTACTATTGTCCTTACCACTTCTAAAACGATGACTGGTGTGTTTACTTTTCTTACATTTTCTAGCTGAAGTTGCAAGACTATTTATGCCTTACAACAGAGGAAGAGGACTTGCAAGACGAACAAGCTTGCCTGTGATGAGTCGTGCAGTATCCTGCAGCTTTACGCATAACTTCTGCTGTCTTGATGACAAAAATGCTGATTTAGTACCCAGTCGCTGTGCAAAAGACATATTGTTCTCTGCTGGGTTAGGGGAGAAACGTGTCACCTTTCGATGTATGTAAAAAGCAACTTATTGGAATGTTAGAGTTTTGTTTAAAAGTGAGGTTTTCTTGAACACATTTGGATTATTAATTCTTATGTATCGTCTGTACTGTTAAAGGGATAGTTCAGCCAAAAATGGTAAATTCTGTTATTTACTCGCCCTCAAATTTTAAAAAAACTGTATAAACTTCTTTGTTCTGCTAAACACAAAAAAATAATCCAAATAATGCATGTCAGCAAACAGGTTTGGGGCACCATTGACTTCCATAGTACGACAAAATACTATGGAACTCAGTGGTGCCCCAATACTGTTTGGTTTCAAATATTGTTCTAAAACATTCCTGCTTTAAAAATAGTAAGGTCTGTCAGTAGTCATTTAACTAAAATTTTAACAAAAGTTGTCCGGAGCTTTCAAAACTGTACTGAACTGAAAGTCAAAGATAAGTGATAACTGTCAGATTTGTCCTAGTATCTTACATTTTATCTTTTTGTTATTATTATTCTTAAAGGATGCCATGCAGATCCCCAAAAATGTAAGGATGTCATCGTGGAGGCTTTTCCAAAACTCAGACAAGGTGGTGGGTTTGAGTTGCTGAAAATATCTGGAAACACAAGGAGCCATTATCTCAGCTTGATACCCTGTCCAAATGAAGGGTACCATGTAAAGTATTTGAAAGATCCTCAAAATCAAATTGGTCATGCAACCATTTTCATTCGTCCACTTCAACGAAACTTAGAAGTTGAATCAGTAAGTTACATACTTTCAAACAGGGAATGTTTTTTAACATTTACATAAAACATGTATGCCATGCTATTTTGCTGTGATGTTTTCTTGCAGCCAAGTCTTCCTAGCAGAGATGAGTTGATTGGACCACCTCAAAAATGTGTTGTATGTGGAGATGAATTCCCCTTTGCAGCTATAAAGTCTCACAGTGATGAGTGCATGAGGTATTTGAGATTATTATTTTTTTTAATGTGGAGTCTCTTATGGAAATGTTTATTTATCCTTGGTTTGGAGAACCATTATCTGAGTTACAGTAGACTTTGACAGTTTGAACCAGTCAATGTTACTAAAATGTCGTCGTCGTCATCGTCGTTGTTGTTGTTGTTTTGAAACCCTTTAAAGGCTAAATTCACCCAAAAATTAAATTTTTATTAATTAGTCACCCACATGTCTTTCCAAACCCATAAGGTTTTCGTTCATCTTCACAACACGAATGAAGATAAATCTGAGTGCTTTCTGTCCCTCCATTGACAGCCTATGCAACCTACTTTAAAGGTCCAGCATGGTAGTGAAGACATCATTAAAGTAATCCATGCCCTCACGTCAACTCAACATGCATGCGCTGTGGTTGTTTTGTGAGCTTGCATCTAAGATCTATTTTTGTTCAGTTTTTTCTTCTTCTCACACACAAAGCATGCACGTCTCTTCATACATTGAGGTTAAACCACTGGAGTCACATGGATTACTTTAATGATGTCTTTCCTACCTTTCTGGACCGTTATGTCTTTCCTACCGTTATAGGCCATCAATGGAGGACAGAAAACTCAGATTTCATTTAAAAGATCTTAATTTGTGTTCTGGAATAACATGAGGGTGATAAACTGATAAAATTAAATTTTTTTGCATGAACTATACCTTTAAACAGTCTGTGTTTACCCCTTTTCCTAAGGTCAGTGGAGGTCAGTGGTGAGGTAGTGAGTGAGAGGGCTACAGAAAGGGCCACTTCAAGCAGCACTGAAAGTACAGTTGTGAGGCAGGAGAGAAATGTTGTAAATCCCAGCATCAGACACTGCACAATGCAAGATCGAGAAAGCATGACAGTTTCACAGCTCATCACAATAGATCAAGAGAGCACTGAACTTGATGGTTTGTATAGTTGACTTGCACAATCTATCTTCTAACTTATCTCTAATTAGGAATTCGGCACATTAGTCTGAGAAATACAGATTTCTGTATTTTTCGTCCTGTGGCTCACATGAACTGTTAATCTGACTGTAAGGATACCAAAATTGCTGCAAACAATTAATGAACAAACGGCAAATCTCATAATGTGCATTTCAAAACACATGCGCCTACGATCTTCAAAGATTACGGGTCATGTTTTTCTAATTTCCTTTTTTGTCTTTTCCCGATCATATGCCTGTTAATGTTTGTTGCCCTGGATAATGTCTCTGGTTTTAGATTGGAAATTTGAGCCAGATGCAACAGAGGCCTCAAAGAAGTACAGAGAAAACCTATTGAATACCCATGAAAGGGGAAAAGAGCTACTTTTCCAGATGGACATGAGAGACCGTCCTGAAGACAGGGAGAGAGCAATCTTGACTTTCTACAAGATGGCAAATGTAGAATGGGCTTGTCCTTTAAAATGTACACTACATGGTAGGTAAAGTAAATCCTATAATGCAGGGGTGTCCAATCCTGCTCCTGGAGGGCCACTGTCCTGCAGAGTTAAACTCTAACCAGCTCCAACAGACTTGCCTTGAAGTTTCTAGTGATTCTGAAGGCCTTAATTAGCTGGATCAGGTGTTTAATCAGGGTTGGAGCTAAACTCTGCAGGACAGTGGCCCTCCACAAGCAGGAATGGACACCCCTGCCATAATGTAATACGGTTATGATTTTTGCTTGCGTTAATGTCCCATTGTACCTTTGCCTTCAAGGTGATCCTGCAATTGGAGACGGTGTGACTCGTCATGTTTTTGCAACAATCATGTCAAAACTCCAGCATGGTTTTGAACTACAACTTGGTTAGTGACCTATACAATACATGTTATTTTTTCCCCGTTTTCTTAGGATAACTTTAAAAGAAGTTTACAGAAATTTGTTGGCATTAACAGTTAACTACTTACCATTGGCCTTAGGGTTGATATTTTAAAAGGTTTCTGCATTTGTCTTTTGTAATGCATGTGTAGCGAATCAGCTCATGGGGAAATATGAATAATTAATAATAACTAGGAACTCTTCTTTTTGAGGGTGAAAAGGATCACTTGATTCCCTCAACATCACAGAGTTTTCTGGATAGTGACTTCTTTGTGGTGGCAGGCCGTATGATCGGGCACTCATTCCTGCATGGTGGTCCATGCTTAACTGGTTTAAGCCCAGCAATAATCCACATGCTTTTTGGCGGATCCCCTGAAACAGCCACCATAGATATACTGGACTGTGTGGACACTGATGTCCGTCAAGTAATAGAGATGGTTAGTTAATCTTTACTCTTATTAATTTTCATTAAATATATTATCTGGGAATAAAAAAATTACTTAAACAAAAACAAATTCACTGCAATGCCAAAAAAAAAAGTCACTGTTTAGATTTTAATAGGCAACTTCAGATACTATGACTGGATCATAATTGCAGTGATAATTATGTTTCTATCATGTTATGTTTGCCAGCAGTTCTTCTAACACTAATTTATGAAGTGTGTAGCTTTTCATTTCTTAAACAACCATGTAGGAATCATGGACATATACCAAGATGACAGTGTCAAGATTGATTAGGCTCAAGTTGTGAAAGAATGGTTGGAATGGACCATTAGGAATCATTTTCACACATGAATTGGCACCTGAGTCCTGACATTAACCTCAGTGAAAGTCTTTTGGATGTGCTGGAGACTTTACAGAGTGCTCACCTCTTGCATTGTCAATACAATATAGACTTTTAAGTATTTGCCTATTAAAATCCAAACTGACTTTTTTTTTTTTGGCTAGGCAGTGTTTATAGTTATTATAATTATATGACCAGTTGAAAGGCACAGGTGAATTATCAGAGGAGGAAAAGAGGGCTATTTCAGACCGCTTGTTTCGATCATCAGAAGGCAAATTCATAGATACTAAACAAGGCAGGACTACATATAGGCAGGATGACAGGAATGGGTTCCATCATAAGCATGCATAAAATAGTCTAAAAATATCAAAGAAAACATACACCATGACCTGAAGGATACACTGTTCATTCAAAGAAAGGTTTTCCTATGAATTAATTAGTAGAAAAGTCCATTTCTACTGTGCACTGTGGATTTCCTATGGAAATTGTAGTGAGAGGGGTGACTCTTGCATTCCATTAGGTCGTAAATGTATCTGGTGTCAGGGTTGCCATGGTAACCAGGGGGGCCTCTTTCATTGCAGACATCCTGGCATCCAGTTTATTGGGTGAGGGGACTGTGTTAATCTAATGAATAACTGATTTGTTAAATCAAATGAAAAATTGTGTGTTTGATTGGTCCAGATGCTACACATGCCTGATTGTTACATGTTGCATGGCTTTATTTCTTTTAAGTGCCAGGAGGAACTCTTCTTTTTGAGGGTGAAAAGGATCACTCGATTCCCTCAACATCACAGAGTTTTCTGGATAGTTACTTCTTTGTGGTGGCAGGCCGTATGATCGGGCACTCATTCCTGCATGGTGGTCCATGCTTAACTGGTTTAAGCCCAGCAATAATCCACATGCTTTTTGGTGGATCCCCTGAAACAGCCACCATAGATATACTGGAATGTGTGGACACTGATGTCCGTCAAGTAATAGAGATGGTTAGTTAATCTTTACTCTTATTAATTTTCATTAAATATATTAGCTGGGAATAAAAAAATTACTTAAACAAAAACAAATTCACTGCACGGCCAAGAAAAAAAAGTCACTGTTTAGATTTTAATAGGCAAATTCAGATACTATGACTGGATCATAATTGCAGTGATAATTATGTTTCTATCATGTTATGTTTGCCAGCAGTTCTTCTAACACTAATTTATGAAGTGTGTAGCTTTTCATTTCTTAAACAACCATGTAGGAATCATGGCCATATACCAAGATGACAGTGTCAAGATTGATTAGGCTCAAGTTGTGAAAGAATGGTTGGAATGGACCATTAGGAATCATTTTCACACATGAATTGGCACCTGAGTCCTGACATTAACCTCAGTGAAAGTCTTTTGGATGTGCTGGAGACTTTAGAGTGCTCACCTCTTGCATTGTCAATACAATATAGACTTTTAAGTATTTGCTTATTAAAATCCAAACAGTTACTTTTTTTTTTGGCTAGGCAGTGTGTATAGTTATTATAATTTTATGACCAGTTGAAAGGCACAGGTGAATTATCAGAGGAAGAAAAGAGGGCTATTTCAGACCTTGCAGTGTCCTGGGATTTGCCTGGTGTGACATCAGAGAACAGAAGATGGCTGCTTGACAAACTGCTCATTCATGCAGTGAGTATGCATTATTGGTTGGAATACTCTTAAAAGGTTAGTTCACCCACAAATTCTGTCATTAATTACTCACCCTCATGTTGTTCTACACCCCACTAGTAAGATATGGACCATTTATGTAATGTTGAGCTCTACAATTCTTTAGTAATGATAATGTTGTCAATGTGTCAGATGATTTTAGAGAGGATAATTTGGCCAACACATGATGAAGACAGCGAGGCCTCTCTTGAAGACACATGTACACTCTTAAAAATAAAGGTGCTTCAAAAGGTTCTTCAAGCGATGCCATAAAATAACCATTTTTGGTTCCACAAAGAACCATTCAGTCAAAGGTTCTTTAAAAGAACCATCTCTTTCTTACCTTTTTATAATCTGAAGAACCTTCTTTTGCCACATAGAACCTTTTGTGAAACCGAAAGGTTCTTCAGATGTTGAAGGTTTTTTTTGGCTAGGCAGTGTGTATAGTTATTATAATTTTATGACCAGTTGAAAGGTACAGGTGAATTATCAGAGGAAGAAAAGAGGGCTATTTCAGACCTTGCAGTGTCCTGGGATTTGCCTGGTGTGACATCAGAGAACAGAAGATGGCTGCTTGACAAACTGCTCATTCATGCAGTGAGTATGCATTATTGGTTGGAATACTCTAAAGGGTTAGTTCACCCAAAAATGAAAATTCTGTCATTAATTACTCACCCTCATGTTGTTCTACACCTGTAAGTTCATCTTCGGAACACAAATGAAGATATTTTTTATAAAATCCGATGACTCAGTGAGGCCTGCATTGCCAGCAAGATAATTAACTCTTTCAGATTAGACAAAAAGCTACTACTTTTTGGGTGAACTAACCCTTTAAAGTTTAAAAATGTAATGCATGTTTTCATTCCAAATTAAATTATGAAGGTCCTTGAAAGAACCTCCAAGCAAGTAAAGCAGCTACGGCGGGGTTTGAAGGAAACATTGATCTGGCCTTTGCTTTCTGAGAGGAAAGACACTATTCCTCTTCTCTTTCCCAGGACTTGTGATACAGTGTACACCCCACTAGTAAGATATGGACCATTTATGTAATGTTGAGCTCTACAATTCTTTAGTAATGATAATGTTGTCAATGTGTCAGATGATTTTAGAGAGGATAATTTGGCCAACACATGATGAAGACAGCGAGGCCTCTCTTGAAGACACATGTAGGCTCACCGGATTCCTTCGCACCTTCATCGGAAATTGTAAGTATATGAGAAATTAACTGACTTTTTGCTTTAGATTCTACAATAAAAAAAATAAAAAGGGGTCATGATCTGGATTTGTAAAATTATTTTGTTTCCTGAGGTGTACTTTTTTTTTAATGCAGCTTCTTATAATATCTTGCGGTTTCTAATAAAATTCTGGACTAGATGGGATGTACTGCCCAGGAGCCTAGACGTTGAGGTGGTGGATGGAAACCTACCCAAGTCTTCCACATGCTATCAAACTCTCAAGCTTCCTAGTCATTACAAGGACTATGCTGCCTTTGAGAGATATATTTTAGCTGCTATCTGGAGCTTAGATTATGGATTTGGAATGGTCTAAGTTTGTGTTACAAATAATATCAGATGCCATATTTCTACTGGAGGTAGTGTTTAATTTTTCTAAATTTTTCATGTCTAAATCGGATATTCAGTCAGAAGATCTCAAACCTGTTTGGTATGTTGCAGTGTTCAGAGCTTTGTATTCGATGCCAAAATAACATTTGATAAGAAATTTAAGAATTTATTTGCTTGGATGTACTAAAAAGATACTGTTCTAGACATTTTAGCTTTATTAAATGGTTTGGAAGTAGTTTGAGCAACTAAGAATATTCACTGGATGCAAGAGTTATTATTAACTGGCACTAAATGTCAAAATGCCCCACTTTTTTCTTCCTGGAAAGCCAGCCTGTGAATTTTGTAAGCAATTTTGACATGTATTCAGAACCTTGTTGTCAAAGTTACACCAAACTAAGCTTTGGTCAAAAGGTTATTTGAAACATTTATTGACTTTGGTACAAGACTGTTCAAAGCCATCATTACACAAATTCAATAAAAAAAAAAGGATCTTTACAGATTATATATTTTTATGGGTTTTTGTGGCATTAACATTAATAAATGACTGCGACAAGAACTAGTGGATCAAATATTTAAACAATGTTGATAATAGGTCAAAACAGGCATGTATATAATTGTTTTCAACATAAGCAAAACTTGCTGATGCTCACTCTTTGAAGTTGTGTAGTCTTGCTACTGAAGCATTTCATATAATAACATTACAGTCTCTCTGTACACCTCCAACACATTAGAAAGGGGGACATCTGGGTCTGGGAATCTTTCAACATCCTCCTGTGTAAGTTGATGTTGTATTTGTACTTCAGGGATCACCACACCAGGTTCGTGATGACCACATGGCCCTCTCCAGTCAATGCCATATTGCATGGCATCTACCTGTAATAGACAATTGATAATTTAATTATTAATAAATTAAACAAACATCCTACTGCCAGAGCTCATTAAGCACCAAATAGTACAATTTATACAGTAGTTAGGTTGGCTTGAGAAAGCAAACCTACTGAAATGCTATTTAAACTTCTGATACTACATTTTCTGACTCCTACAGCTTTAACTCTACATCCACTAAACTCGGCACAGACTGTTCTGACTCGGGTTGCTATATCGTGTCTAACTTATGGTTTTCCTAAAAATGATGGAAGACTGCAAAATGCAGAAAAATCCCATAGACTTATATGGACAGAATCTTCTGATGAGCCAAGACTGTAAAAACTCAATTTAATCACACCAAAGCCAATTGGACTAATTTAAGATGGCATAATTTCCAATCTATCTAATATTTCTACACCTACCTGTCTAATATATTTAATCTATATCTAATATTTTTAATCTATCGTCTAATTTCTAATCTATCCATCCTAATTCATGTGTCATAATTGCTAACCAGCTCTGATATAAATACCTGGATAGGGTCTTGAAGTTGATGACTTAACCAGAGCTGTATTGGTGACTGGTTTCCTTCTGTCCGCAACTTGTGGTGGTTCCAGCCATCCTGAAAGTACTGAAGGTGTTTCTGTACATGTGGCAAGAAACATTCTCAAGGTTGGTGAATATTGTGTAGAAGAGATCAAGCACTCCAGCATAAACATCTCTCCACAACCTTTCAATCCTAACAGTAAAGGAAGCCAAAATACAAAGATTTTTAAACTAGGACCGTCAAGGACCAACATTCATAATGTTGTATATGAAGTGGAGCTTCTATAGCCTAAAATGGGAATTAAAAAGTAAAATCTATTTTAAAGACGTGGGGATTTAGTTTTCCATTCATTACAGACAAATTTTCTTAGTAGTCATACTAAGTTATCATAGTAGTCTTTTATTTATCTAGAAACCATGCATATATTGGTAATTGTTTGCATTTCTGTAAAACAAAAAATTTTCAAGGGGCCTGAAAACTTAGTAATCGAGTTTCTGTTCTCTCCTCTGGTGGAAACCATGAAACGAGCAACATCGATATTCTCCCCACCTTTATCTGACCTCACACGTGACGGCACACCATACAGGTTGACACCTTCTAAAAAGCTTGTCAGGACTGTAGCAGCTTTATTATTGGTGGCAGCGTTCAAATATACAATTAGACGGCTAAAGCCATCAATGCCACCATGAACCACAATACGCCACCTGGAACAGATATAAGAAAATTAATTTCAACAATATTAACAACTAGGCTTTTGAGTAATGATATAAAACACGTTCTACTATCTATAGTAAATCAAAACAGCCAAAACAGTATATCACATACTTAAGACGATACCTTTTACATACAGGGGTTGGACAAAATAATATGAACACCTGTGAAATAGACAATATTTCTTTATTAAGATGTTTTACCAAAATTTTATTTAATAACGATTATAACATTATTAGACTAGATTAACTGAACGTTTGAATAGTCTCCAGGTGAATGTTGTCTATCAGAACATCTGCCAGTTGGTTCAGAGATGTTGAAGGAGAGAATCTACTTCTCACTCTTCTCTCAAAAATATACTCTCATGATGGGAGAGGTGCCCGTGTCAAATAACATAGGGGTCTGGTCTTCATGGGCAGAGCTATCAAAATAGGGGTGTTATCCTTTTAGGTAGGGACATTTGCTTCAGTGATTTCAAATATAAAAATATAAACTCAGAAATCCCTTACTGGACCTTTAACAACACAATCAGAAAGATCTGCTCGAATAATTACACCAATAATGTCTATGAAAATTCTCAAAATAGTCAAACGGATGTTTCTCTGCTGATGAATGTTTCACCACTCATCCAAGCACATT